CYTCCTGGCATTCAATCCTGCTTCTTTAAAAAAMTTCTCATTGTTTCATTGTTGTTTTGTGTTTCTTCTTTTGGTGTTGTTTCTTCTTTGCRTTCTTTGCTCTTGCTATTATTCTTGCTGTTCCTCCTCCTTCTTCTTCTCCTCCCCTGCATGATGAMGAAAAAAAGAAATTTTACTCCTCCTCCTCCTCCTCTGCATGAGCAAGCAATCAAAGAAATTTTACTCCTGCTGCTCTTGTCATACAACCATTATTATAGCCCTTTGTCTGAATAGTATATTTCCAGCATCTTTATTTCATGATCGTTCCTTTAGCTACTTTTTTATGACTTTCAGAATGATAGTAGTAGTAGAAGAAGAAGTAAAAAGAACAGTTGTCCTAATCTACTAGCCCTTCCAAACCTAGCCCTAGCCCTAGCGCTAGACCCACTAGTACAACTAGCTAGTAGTAACTGAATTTGCAGCAGAAATTTTCTTGTTGGTTGCAATGTTGAAAGTCCCTCTCAAGAAGTCAATGATTCCTAATTCTAATTCTAATTCTAATTATGCCCTTGCCTTTGGATAGAAATTTAACACATGACTTCATCCAAACATCTACAATTGAAATAGAATTGCTTGAGCTATAGCTTTTGGAAGGAGGTTAATTTACAAGCCACTACTGCAAAAATACTGTGATGTTTACTTTTKTGTAAAATAACTGGGCTACTTCCTAGCAATAATTCGTTCGAGCTCTTGGAACTCCATCATTTCATTGTGTGTTGTAAAATTATATTGTGTGGGTGTGTCGCGGACAATTATTGGTTAGTCATCTTATCGATTGGCAGTTCATGCGATACGATCTTCGTCGTTGATCTCGCTGTYTTCCAAAAGGGTTTCTTCCTTAGGGTCGGGCCTCTTGTTGCCTGTAGGGGGCTTTTGTTTGTTGTTGCCGAAACTCTTCAACAAGTTCTTGGTTTTAAGCAATGCTGTTCTACGTGGAGAATTCACCTTAGTCATCCTCGCAGATGCACTAGCATTGCTCGATATGGGTGTCTCGGCAACGCTTTCATCAACGAACGCTGCAGGGCTGGCGTTTGCGGGGCTCGGGKTGTATCCGGCGCCATGCAGTTGAGTATTCGAAGATCTCGCTCCATTGGTGGGTCGCGGAATACCATTCTTTCTAGAAGACTTCTTTTTRGAGGATTTTGACCCGCGGCTTCGGTTGGACCTTCTTGTTCTCTCGTCGTCTGTCAGATTAATGTCCTCGTCTTCTTGGGGACGTGGTCTTGGTGGTGGCATGTTGTACTTGGACTTTTTGAACCCCAAAAATTCGCTCCATACCTCTAGGGTCTCGTTGATGATCCCACCACTGGGATTTTCTTTGATTTCCTTTCCATTTGAGATCTGGGTCTCGTTATCGTCCATGCTCGCACCATATCCGATCTCCTTGCTTTGTGTGTGTGCAACGSCACGAGTAGAAAAACCGGGACCCAATGTGCTGTTGGCACTGAAAGGGAATTCTCCACTCATTGCACTGATTCCCCCTCTTCCGTATACGGGACTGGTGGTATCACCGGGACAAGTCGCTAGGGTATCTTGTGCTATGGTATCTTGTGCTACGGTGTCTTGTCCGAAGTTGTCGTCCTTCTCAACGTCCTCGATCAAAACAAAAGGACTTTCCCAGTCGTTCGAACGTTCCGAGTAGGAGCCAACACCCACTGTATCGGTCTCTCCGGTGTTTCCAGTGTTGGTTCGACCTATGAATCKACCACGGTGGCTTCTTCTACGGTCCGCCTCGGATTTAGTGGCCACAAGAAAGTCTCTATCGTCGCTGTCGCTTCCACCACAGCAGCAGCAACAGAAAATATAAACGATGAAGGACAAAACGAMGGTTACGACCCCCGCAATAATTCCAAAAACCTTCCAGAACTCATCGTCCCATTCGGATGGACTCGTACTCCACATGTTCACGACGTCTTCGTCAAAACGGTCCATTAGACCCTGCGCAGTATCTTTGACTTTGTCCACCATTTCCGATGTTCCATATTGACCATCGTMGTTTTGATAATCGTAGTTCATGTCATTTTCTTCTTCCTCTGGTCCTTCTTCATTTTCCTCCTCTTGAACTTCTTCCTCCTGTTGTTCTTCCACGTTTTCTTCTTCTGCCTGCTGTTCTTGCTGTTCCTGGTTTTCATCGACATCATCTTCTTGTTCCTGCTGTTGCCCATCTTCCAATTTTCTGGAAGTGACACCAGTTACAACGACATTTTGCTGTTGTCCTCCACGCAAGGACCCAGGCCCCACAAGATTTGCTTTGATAGCGTCGGCCTCTACTTGGAGAATACCTGCGTTGTGAGACGAGATGGACGTGAGCGCTAGAGAAACTGCAACAGCGGCTACAAACAAACCGCTTCGTCCCCGTCTTGTGACCATTTTATCTTCGACTCAATTAGACAATTATGTAAGAATATATTATATCGAACCTAGATGGTATCGATGGTTTGCGAAGTGTCCTTGCTGAGCTTGATTAGGATGATAGTGGTGAGTTATTTTGCGGTTCACTTCTTCGATTATAGAATGGTATCGTTGAAGGAATAGTGTTTTCGCCAATATTGATGTAATTGAATGATACTAGCTACGTACTGTACGGTACTTGTAGTTCATCCATGATACACAATCAGTATTTCTTCTTGGTGCTTCACTTTCGCAGAAAAACAAACGAACGATTATGGCAAAAAATGAAGCACGAATTCAGGCGACGAGGCCGGCTTTGTGCGATAGTGGGCGCCCGTCGGTCTGATTTAACTGGAAAATCCGTATCGCCAACGGAGAACTAGCGTCAACGGTTCTTTTTCCGGGATATTTAAATTTCGCAATCCGATCGCGCGCAAMGATCGCGCGCATAGAGGGAGAAGCACCCAATCATTTTTAAGTGTTYTTGTATTCCGCAAGATCAAAGTGTGATTTGATATGGGTTGTGCATCGCATTTCCATTCGCGAATGAAAAATAATGGGATCTGTTCGTAAGAAATTACTAGTACCCTACGAGAGTACTGGTATTCGTACCATGCACGTACCTCTTGATGGTGGCATCACTCCAATCAATTGACGCAGCGAGCACCATCAGTTTCGATTATTGTTTGAAACTAGTACGAATGTAAATATGTTCTTTTTCTCATTTTAATCTCCATGATGGATGACTTTTGACTCAGTCCATACCCACATGCGTCAATACCAAAGCTTTGTTTTCAAATTTCAATTCAAGGTTGAATAATGATCTCCGTACTTTTTTCGTGCKAAGTTGAAAACACAAGAAAACTGGAAGAGCTGTAACGAACGCTATTCCTTTGGATGTACCTCTGAGTGGAAAAACTTTCAAAGTTCCAATCCTTCGAAAAGTACAAGTACTGAATGTCAGCCGGAGCTAAGGGTTGTACAAGAAAGTCGGTTAGATACCAGATATCCCTGCCAATGAAGCACTCAAAGCACAGAAAAATACGGTTGCTTGTGATTGCTATAACRACAACGCTGATCATGATGGCGTGGGCAAATATTCTACGCTCGGTGCCCTCCTCTTCGGCCTTCTCGATGGCCAGGCTGGCTGGTACACGAACATTTKCGAGTTTTACCTCGAAGATGCAGCTGGGATTGGCATACTCCGATGCTACGAAACAGCGCATCAAGGGATTGGACGCCGCGAAGGAATTTTCGAAGTTAGCCATCAAACTGAAGAAAGAACCCGACGATCTGAAGCTTGTGTTGGCCCAGCGCGTCGCTACCGCCGCTGTCATGACGGAGAAGGAAGAATACATCGACTGGTTGCTCTCCGGTACGAGTACCGCCGGCAACGCAAAGTTTCGCCCGAAGAAAGAAAAGAAGGCGGCAAAACAWCAGAAAGCACCGGTCCCAAAAGCGTCAATCGAGCGCGGTGCCAAGCCCAAGAAATCTAAGGGTAGCACGCAAGCACCGCCATCACCGGATGCAAGCGAAATCCAAACCTTTCACACCGATGTTCGATTCGACGACGACACCAAAATCGACATGCACTGGAACTCGAGAAAGGCCGTGKCCACAATGGGGCTGACYCACATGACCGAAATCCAATCCAAAACGTTCGTGGCAGCCGCCGCCGGGCACGATGTTCTGGGGAGAGCCAGGACCGGGACAGGAAAAACCGTGGCGTTTTTGCTGCCGGCCATCGAGCGATTGGTTCGTGACGGCTCCATTGACGATCCCAATCGGATAGGAATGCTTGTAGTGTCTCCTACCAGGGAATTGGCAACGCAGATCGGGGAACAAGCAAAACAGCTGTTGAGATACCACCAGGGGTCGTCTGTACAAGTAATGTTTGGTGGAACCAACATCAAGAGCGACTTGAAACAGCTAGAGAGAGGGTTCCCGACCGTCTTGGTAGCGACGCCTGGTCGCCTCTTGGACCATTTGCAAACAACAAAACTCAAAMAGAACGGTTCCCTCTTATCTTTTGGCAAGCATGTCATGCCAGAGACAAACCTGGTGGTTCTAGACGAAACAGATCGCCTCCTGGACATGGGATTCCGGCGTGATATCGAGAGGATTCTGGGGTACCTGCCTTCGTCGGAAACGAGGCAAACCCTGCTGTTCTCTGCGACGATGCCGCCGGAACTGAAAGCAATCATGAAGGAAAACATGAAACCGAACTACGTCGAGGTAGATTGCGTCCAGGATGGGGATGCGGCGACTCATACGAACGATCGAGTGGCACAGACCCACGTAATCCTCCCCTCGAAAGAAGTCGACATCATCAGCTCGGTCGTCGAGACCGTTCGTTTTGCCGTCGAAAGCCATGTCAACAAGGATGACGACTCGTCYCGGTTCACCATCCCACCAAAGATCGTCGTCTTCTTTCCAACGGCGAGACTTGTTCAGTTCTACGCACAAATGTTTGAAGAAATCAACAAGGGTGTCCTCCTCACTGAACACACCGGTGACGACAAATCCATCAAGATACCTTCGTGGGAGCTCCACTCGAAGAAATCACAGGGATACCGAAACCGCGTAAGCGATGAATTCCGGAAAGCCACGACGGGTGTGTTGTTTACCAGTGATGTTTCTGCTAGAGGCGTCGACTATCCGAACGTTTCGCACGTGATCCAGTTCGGCATGCCGGAAAGTCGCGAGCAATACATCCACCGATTGGGGCGAACGGGGCGCGGTGGATCCAARGGAAAGGGCTGGCTTGTCCTGCAGGACTGGGAAGCCGCTTTTCTCAAAGAACTGAAGGGGGTAGATATTCCGCAGAACGACGACCTGGTCTCGAGGTTCCTGGAAACGGACATGCCGGAAGATTCGAAATCCATGGTGMAGGAGGTACAGCGCCGCGTACGGGGTGGGGATGGGGTGCTGTCCAAGAGTGGGAGCGCTGCCTATGCCGCCTTTCTGGGATACTATAAGAGTCAAATGAAACGAATGGGCATGCGGAGGGCAGAAATTCTCGTGGAAATCGCGAACGACTTTGCCGCATCCTCGGGCTTCAARGATCCACCTCAGCTCCAGAAATCGACTGTTGGAAAGATGGGTCTGAAAGGGGTTGAAGGCCTGAACATTGGGAATGGTAACTCTTCCGCGAAGGGTGGTAGCGGAAGACGAGGGGAATCCCGTGGCGGCCGKGGYGGAGGTCGTGGAGGTGGCCGTGGCCGTGGCGGGAGCCGTGGAGGTGGCGGTAGGGGTCGGCAGCGATAGGGTTCGATCAACTCCAACCAATSCAATACCCAAGTGCAWTTTTGATGAAGAATTGCAACGTGTATTATTCAGAGTCCCTACGTCACAATGCAAAATGACATTAAAATAAAATGATACTTTTCGAACACCGAGCGTGTGGCACATGTGCTACTAGTAGTTACTAGASGGTCGATGTCGCTCTGGTGACCCCAATAATTCATAGTCTCGCTTTGGGCTTAGAATGGACTCAACAATTTTTTTKGTGTTCTTGCAGGCGCTTTATTGAGCTCATGTCTAAGAGAAAGCAAAATCTGTAGAGGTCCCAGCTGCAGGTACGTGTATATAATCTGTATCTTCTTAATCCTGATCTCTTCTCTCCTCCTCCTTCTCATTGWTTTTGGTCCTTTTGGTTCCTCCGACTGCTCCTGTTGCCAGTAGCCAAGGATACATGGTTTGAAATATAAATACTAGTACTAGTTGTATTAGTAGGCTAGTACTTCCTGTAAAGCAAATTTTTTGTTGCTACAAAGACTTCTTGTTGATATCTTTGRCTGCTCCACATATTAGTATGGGTATGCAGTGATGCTCATAAACTACTAAGGTTGGTTCTTGTTCCTTGTTTATATCTGACAACAAATCTATTCTGTAGTGCTATACYGCTGTTKCCTCTTTACTGCTGGTGTCATGTAAAGARGAAGAAGAAAAAAGCCTGTTTGCAAARAAAGTGAGCTCATTGCTCACTCACTGTCTACTTGTGATTGACACACTGTTAAATAGGAGATTTCAGAGTGGTTGCTGTCCACCATTTTCCTACTGGAGAGCAATGGCTGGTTTTCAAGAATGGTCCCACACAAAAACTCACAAAATTCTTAGGGTCATTTTGTTTACAACAACACTTAAAAAGAAAAAAAATGATCCCAATGATTTAAATTATTGCCGGTCCTTTAATATTTCTATTATTGGTGGTGGTGGTGGTCTTTACTACTGCTGGAGAGGTAATTCCATTGCTTACTAGTACTTGAAA